TGGAGGGACGGCGCAAGAGGGGAAGACCTTCTATGAGATGGATTGATTCAGTGACTGGGGTAATCGGGATGGGTGTGTCAGAGGCAGTGTGATTTGCACAGGATAGAGCAGGGTTTAGGGCTGTTGTACGTAGGGTCGCTATGAGTTGCAAATGACTCGACGGCACATAACAACAACAACAACAGTTGGACCCATAAATATAAACAATCAGTTGTTTTTTAGTGCTTTTCAGATCATGGAAATGTCATGTGTATTAGCATAGATCTTTCCCTACAAAAGTTTAAAGGACTGTTCTTTTAAAAAAGTAGACAGTCAAGCATTTTTTTCTGAGGTCCTTCTGGCTAGAATTGAACTTCTAAATTTTAGTTAGCAGTGAAGTGCATTAACCGTTTGAATTACCTAAACACTTTAATTATACTCCTGTTGTTGTTGTTGATTGCTGTTGAGTTGAGTACGACTCATAGAGAGCCTATGAACAAAAGACCTGAAGTCTTTCTATAACTATTGTAGTTTCTTAAAGTTCATAGAGTTTCCAGAGGCATGTTGTTTAGGAAGTGGATTCCTCACAGTACTTTTAAGGTTTTCTTAAAAGGTGCCATAAAGTAGGGAAAGAGATGTGTAGGGAGTTACTCAGCTTCCTTTGATTTGTACCTTTGAAATGTGGCTTTATTTCCTTGCTATGAAGTGCTGCAATTATTGGCCAATCATATGTCTGCCACTCAACTATTCTTTCAATATTGGTGATTTTTTCTTTTGCTAGTGTCAAATTATTAATCTTAATTATATATATAATCTAAAAAGGACTGCACCACATGTTAATTTCTGCTATTGTGAAAAACTTACCTTTAAATAATGAACTTGCATAAAAGTCTTCTCTGGGTTGAGTCCGTGTTTGACAAGAGATGCTCCTGAGTCAGTCACAAGCCCAGTTTTCTCTTTGTTCGGTCTAGAAGGATTGATTAATATATTCTTTATATAGCACATAATTAATTAACTAGACCATAATATCATCTTACTTCTTATAGTCAGGTGTTGTCCAACAGTACTTTGATATTATTCAGATTATCAGGTATAATTTAAACCATTTCCTACCATGAATTTATATACTAAATAGGAGAGATTAATTTGGGGGCTGTCAACCTAAAATTAGTTTATATCTATTTATCCGGTATTGAACCTTGCCAGATCCCTATGAAGTTTATGCTTTAATATGCAGTATTTAAGAATCTGTAAATTTTTTGATGGGCACGAGAGACTGGAAGAAAAAAAAAATCCACAATCAAACCACTGGAAAAATGTAGACTTAGTTCAAAGAATAAAGAAATTATATAGCCTCAAAATATTTTTTAAGGCCTTAATGTTTTCATTTCTCTTGATTTGTGTTTAATAACTAAGGCCCCTTTAGGAAATATCTGTAAAAAAAAAAGAAATATCTGTACTCTGAAGCCATCTTAAAGTCACAAAAAATATTGAATATACTATAGAATTCCAAAGAATAAAGAAATCAGACTTTTAAAAAAATTATTTAATTTTAATGAATATTTACAGAGATTTTGGATTTCCATTCATTCATTTTTGCATTTTTTTCTCCCTGTCCACACCTCAACCCCAATTCACTCTTCTCTTTGAAAAGTAAAATTCTTTCATTGGTATACAATTCCCCCCGCCCCCCCCCCCGAGTACACTCCACTATGCAACCTTCATTCTGGACTTTTGCCATAATCATAATACCCAATCATATATTGCTTTTAAACTGTTCTCTTCCTCATCTGTTTCAATGCAGTATACATAATTTATTGAATTTTTCTCAGTCTCACTCTAACCCTGATGTCTGTCCCGTTCTACAACAGTGGCACTATGCAGTATTTGTCCTTTTGTGACTGAGATATTTCACTCAGCATAATGTCTTCCAGGGCCACCAATTTTGAATAATATTGCATGAGTTTCTTGTTTTTCAATGCAGTGTAGGATTCCATTGTGTGAATATACCACAGTTTCTCTATCCAATAATTTGTTGATGGGTACTTAGGTTGCTTCCAACTCTTTGCTACTACAAACAAAACTGTAATAAATGTGGGTGTGCATATATCTGCCTTGGTGATGGTTATGGTTTCTTTAGGGTAAATTCCCAGAAGTGGAATTGCTGGGTCAAATTATATTTCTATTTGTAACTTTTTGAGAAAGCGCCATACAGCTATCCATAGTGGGTGCACCATTTCACACTCCCACCAACAGTGAATAAGGGTTCCAGTTTCTCCACAACCTTGCCAGCATTTGTTGTTTGCTGCTCTGTTAAAGTTTGCTATTCTTACTGGGGTGAGGTGTTATCTCATAGTTACAGAAATCAGACTTTGGAACAACTCAGATTTCCTTAGAAATGAGAATAGGGGAGACTTTTTATTTGAACACATAAGGTAAAATCAACTACTAGAACAAGACATCATGTCTGGTAGAGCAGAGTGTCAGCAGAAATGAAGGAAGTTTTCAATGAAATGGATTAACATAGTAACAACAGTGGAGTAATATATATTAACAAGGATGATAAAAGATTTAAAAAACATTTTGTTCTATTTAATTCACAATCTACTAGAGTTATTTATGTTGCAACTAACAAGAATGGTGTAGCACGAAGTCCATTATATCTGTAATCAAACAGAACTTTCTTTTCTCACATTTTCTTTTCTTTCCATTTACTCACATATAAAATGTGAATAAGCCTATCATTCCAAGTTGTGCAAGGAACACATACACAAGATATATGGAAATCTCCAAGGAGGAGTCATGAATAAAAGAAATATTTAATAAACTTAATAAATTATTTACATTTTGTAGCAATAAATATAGTTAAATTCAAGCCTCATCACCTAATATTAGAGACAATGGATTTAGGCATTCTTAAACATAATTGGCTGTGGCTACAGATATAAACTTGTAAAGATGCTGCGCTTCCAAGAAAGTGGCTGAGGATGACAACTTTCCCAATCAGTCCCTTTGAGTGTGTGCTAGCTGCCAAAAAAAATTTGAGTAAGTCTTAGCAGAATATTCCAGTACATTCCTTCAGCTGACAGCCACAAGGAATACGTAAGCAGCTACCTAAAGGAAAGAGCTCAAAAAGCCACTAGAGCTAAAAATATAGTTTACATAGTTAACCTGATCCCAGATTTACCTACATGACCACACTGGCAAGTACAACTAGTCCCTTTGTCTTCACTTAAGGTGTCATTCAAAAGCACTGGCTTTACTCTCTATTCTCAAGTTGGTCATGGGGATGAGAGGTTTCAATATGAAAGCTCTGTTTGGTTGTTTTTTTTTTTTAACATTTTTTATTATTTTATGTGTGTGTACCGTCAAATTGTATCTGACTGGTACAGGAGGAGATTCCCGCTCCTTCTCCAGCAGAGCATCTGGTGGATTCAAACTGTGTACTTCTGGGATTTCAGAGCAGGTTCTTGCCACTAGGCCACCAGAGCTCCCCTGAAAGCTCTGTTTTATAGAAACTCCTCCCCTAACATAACTGGGTGGGAGAATGCTTTTACAAACACTCTCAACCCAAATGATCCCTTTCCCAGGTCATTAGTGAGACAGAATAGATATGACTATTTTTTTTAGATATGACTATTTTATGGCCTTAATCTCTGACTTCAGGTTGCTAACAGGGGTGGTGCTGAAAGAACTGTGTATTTTTCTGATCCTGACTTCCATAATCTAACTCTCAAAATTTGGAGTTGCCATTCCCAACTTTTGCCTAAAAATGTCCTATAAAAAAAACCCCAAAAAACCTTTCTTTCCCTCTCCTCTTCTCCCACCAGCTCTAGAAGAACACTCAAGAAAATGTCTACAAAAGCAGTGACTTTTATGAGGAAAATTTTCCTTCAAGGAAAATTAAAGACTTGTGTGGCAAAATGGCAAGTTCCCTTTCTGCACCATACCCCTTCTTATAAGGGCATTTATTCCAGGACTATAGACAGAGAAAGAAAATGGGGCATGGAGCCAAAAGGCTGTGAGTGTCTTTCTGAAAGGGCCAGAGGGCATGAGAACAGTACAGCCTTTCACTGCGCCAGAGCAGAAAGCAGATAAAGAGCCTATAGCCCAGCCCCATGGTGCCTCTAGAACCACACCCAAAGGAAGAGGTACATTTATTCGTTGCTGACTTACCAACGTTACTCACAGTTGTGGAACTGGAGGATGGGCTTATTAGGGAAATAAGTTTAAGAGTATGGGAGGCAAAGAATAAATACTACCCAATGCAAATCCAGGTTTTAGGTCAGCAATCCCAAGGCATAATTCTTCAATTAATCCAGGATCCAGTTTCAGTTCAACAGTTAATTTCTTCTACCATCCAGCAAGAACAGCAAAAACCTTTAATTGTGATCTTTATCTCAGAGCTTCTCTGGTTACATCTTGCCATAGTTTCTCTACAGCAATGCCAAAATCTCTCCACAACCATCACTAGGGTCTTGCTCAAGTTTCTCTCAAGTCTTGCTGCCCAGTATAGAAAGCGTTCTTTCTCTTAGAGTAGTCCCACAGCTGTTGATGATTTGCAAAACCATGTGTTTGCAGTTCAGGTAGCTGGAGATCAGAGGGGGCTAAATTAATTGCTAAAGAAGTCAACTTTAGGTCAACATTGTACTTATTTAAGTATTTGTTGTTTTTGTTGTTGTTATGTGTCACTGTAACTCATAACAACTCTATGATCAACAGATCTGAAACTTTCCCTATTCTGTACCATCCTTACCATCTCAAACACACTTCAGCCTATTGTTACAGACACCGTGTTAATCTATTCTGTTGAAGGTCTTCCTCTCTTACATAAACCCTCAACCTTTACAAGCCTAATGTTCTTCTGGAAGGACTGGTCCCTCCTTAAAACATATCTATAGTATGGCATGTGGATTTCATCATCTGTGCCTCCAAGTAGCACTCTGGTTTCATAGTCTCCTTGACCGACTTGTTTGTTCTCTTGTAAGGCCATGCTATCTATGTTCAGTAATCCTCAACACCACAACTCAAAGAAATTTCTTCTTCTTCTGTCATTCTTAGTGATTGTCTAACTTTTGGATGCATAGAACACAATTTAGAAGATCCAACCTTGGGTAGGCGCACCTCCATTTTTAAACTGACATCATTGTTCTTTAGTACCATGGAAAGGTCCCTGACAGGAGATTTTCCCAATGCGACTCATCTTTTGATTTCTTGACTGTTGGTACCAAAGATGTTGATTGTGAATCAAAGCAAGATTAAAACTGTTGACAACTTTGATCTTTTTTCCATATATACAATGTTGCTATTGGCCCAGTGGTAAGTATTTTTATTTTCTTCATGTTGAAGGCTTTGGTCCTTGATCTGCAGCAAGCACTTCAAGTCTTCCTCATTTTCAGCAAGCAAGACTGTATCATCTGCATGATGCATGTTGTTGATGAGCCTTCCTTTGATCATGATGCCACATTCTTCATCAATTCCAGCTTCTTGAAAGATTCATTCAGCATACAGATTAAATAGGTATGGATAAAGGATAAACTCTGATGCATGCCTTTTTTAATTTTAAACTATCTAGTGACCCCTTGCTCTGTTCAAACAGAATCTTGGTCTAGGTATGTTTCATATGAGCACAATTAAGTGCTCTGTGATATCCATTCTACTCTATGTTAGCCATAATTTCTAATGATCTATAGTTAAATGTCTTTGCATAGCCAATAAAACACAGATAGACATCCTTATGCTATCTATTATCTACCAATAATATTTTTCTATCATTGAACATAAAAATTAGGAAAATGTAAGACTATTAGCAATTTAATGAATATTCATATTATTTGTATCAGCTCCATAATCAACACTCTTGGAATTAGCAGTCAGGAAATCAAAAGACGAATTGCATTAGGTAAATCTGCTTTCAGGAGCCTCTCCAGGGTACTGACAAGCAATAATGTCAGTCTAGAGACTAAG